GCTTTTTCCTCATCTTTAGTGGCAATGTTCCCCCTTGCATCCACTAGAGGATGGAGGTTCTCCCTGGCTCTCTTTTTGCTGTTAACATATTTATAAAAACTTTTCTTATTATCCCTTACAGCAGTGGCCAGGTTAAGTTCCAGCTGGGCTTTTGCCTTTCTAATTTCCTCTCTGCATAACCTGACAAGATCCCTGTACTCTTCTTGGGTTGCCTGCCCCTTCTTCCAGAGCTGGTAAGCTCTCCTTTTTTTCCTGAGTCGCAGTAGTAGTAGACCCCTGTCCAGCCAGGCCGGTCGTCTTCCCTGCCGATTTGTCTTACGGCACATGGGGAACATGCAGCACTCTGTCAGGTATTACCAAGTCTCTAGTAAAGGCACACCTGTCCTGATTGTACTTTATAATTTCAGTTCAGCAATCTTGAAAGTTGCTTTACTATTCCTGGGTCATTGACAACCCTAGTGTGAAAGTATTCAAATTGCACACCTGTGCGTATTTCTGCACTTCCCCAAAAGTGACTCAGGCTTTTCTTTCAAACAGTACAATTAGTGTTTCTTTCAGGAAATACCAGTTTCCTCTGGTGTTTATTCCAGTCCTCTTCTTCTTTGAATTGCAGATGCAGAAAAATAAATAAAAGGGATTGACACACTTCTATGCAGGAAAGAAAACTGTGAAACCTAAGAGGGTTTCTTTGATATATCAACCATGAGCTGGCAAATACATGAGCCGTGAACTGGCATATAGCTGTGACAGCTTCAGATATATTCAGGCCAGCCGTATTGCCAGTGACTCATTTGTACTGCAATTAACAAGATTTGGGACCAGCATTCTGGCTGTGATGGGAGTACTGGAGATGTCAAGAGATTTTTGTATTTTTTATTTTTCTAAATTATTTTTTTCAGATTTTTTTTCAGCAAAACAGCTAAGCACAACTGATGCAGCAGACAGACCTGGTTGTCACTCTTCTCAGTACTCAAGGTACTATTACTGTGACTGACACCTGAGTTTTTCTCTGTTACTGCTCTGGCATTTAGCTGGAGAGAATTGCTGTTGGATGGAGGAGGGAAAAGAGATTGCTGCCCACTTTCTCTCCCTTTTTGTTGCGCTGTGAGCTTTGGCAGCGTTCTCTGGTAGGGATGAAGGGAAGGGGACACAACGGCACAGTGGGTGTGGTGCAGGGCAATGCCTGGGAAACGGTATCATCAGAGAGGTGCAAAACATGTGATTTTTGATTCATAACAAGTGTTTGTTTGGTCCTGCCTGTATTTAGACCTGTAGTGCTGCTGTTGAGTATATGTACCCTATCTGCCATTAAATCCTTGTCTTTTGGAAATCAGTGAGTCTTTGCACAAAACATTTCCACATATAAAATCTACAATATAATAGTTGTTATATTATAGTTTAGGTGCAGGGCTGAAAGTTCAAAAGTCTGTTCTTCAGGTACCCTTCCAGAAGGAGGTTCAGGAGATGTTAGGCTTCCTCTTACATGCAGACAAGAAAGGCAGAGCCTGAGTCCCACTCCCAGAAGTCAGTAAAATATTAAACTTTGCTGGATTTCCCATCTGTACTTCCTTATCTGTATTTCAGTTTCTCATCCAGCCTAATAAGTACTATTTAGCTTAAGTATATCTTCCAGAAAGACAGCTGGACTTGCCTGAAGACACCAAGTGATGGACAATTCACCACTTTTTTTAATTAATTAATAGAAAGGAGTAGTTGATGAAAGACTGATTTATTCACTTGTTCAATTGCAGCTGGAGAATTTATTGCCTGTGGATGATGTGAAAAAGCACTGCCTTTATTTCTGAAAGAGCAGCAATGTTGTAACTTGGTTTGGTAAATACTTGCATTTTAATAGCATCTACTCTAGAAGACAGACTAGAGTTCCTAATATATGGTAGTAACTCTTCTGGAGGTATAAGGCAGAAGTAAACCATCATGGCTGGTAAGTTGTGTCTAGAATGTTTTTATATCATCAGAGAAATAGGTAAACATCAGAGAAATTTGTTTTGAGCATAAGCCTGGGAAGAAAGCCTGACTCTGACCCAAGAATCCTTAGCCTTATTGGTATTAAGTTTACATAGGCACCACATCACATGGAGTGTGATGCATCAGATGTGTTCACCCTGGTGTTCCAGCCACAGGTAAAAGGAACTCTTGTTTATCACTTTATATGCTATTAAATCTGTTTGCATGAGCATGCAGTATCTTTGTGCTTCAGGACTGAGCTACTGGTTATATTTGTGAGTATTACTCTGATAGTGCTTATATTATTATATAATTTGTGGTTTTTGTATTTTATTATACAGTTTCCGTTGCTTCTGTTTAAGTGTTCATTTTAAGAATGACTAATGTTTTTTTGTAACTTTGCAGAGTACAGATGCCAATTCCAATGTGAGGAAAAGAACCAATGCCACAGTACAGTCTGAAGCTGATGGTGGGAGCCGAATTGACACAAGGCACAGCTCCATCCAGCCTCCCTCTGTAGCTCAGGGGTCTTCTGACATTACACCCCACTCCCTTTCTGCATCAAGTCCCAACCCTTTCACACGCATCAATGCATCAGAGACGTTATCTTCTGCAAGAGCTACCCCTCCAGCTCCTCCTTCTACCCCAATTTTAACTGGATTTGTATCCCAGCATGCCACAGCTGGATCCCCTTCCATTCAGCGCTTGCTTGGATCTAGACTGGAGCAGATTCAGACCACCACACCTAACACATTAGGAGCATCTGCAAAGCCATCTGCTGTCCCACCACCTGCTCCCCCCGCCTCCCACTCTGGCACGAGTAAGATAGACAAATATGCACGCATTTTATTTCCTGTTACCTTCGGAGCATTTAACATGGTCTACTGGGTGGTGTATCTATCCAAGGATACCATGGAAAAATCGGAAAGTCTAATGTAGTTTTGCTGCTATGTAGTAGTTCCTAAATTATACTCACATTTGATGCAGAGTTTCTTCTTTTGAAACTATTTAAAAAGGTCAATAATTCTTATTTATAAAAGCTGTGTGCTACTTTCCCATTGTAAAGGCTGGAGTTATTGGGGATAATTAGTTAACTCCTACCAGAGTAATAGGTAACAGATTTGTCTTCCTCCCTTCAGCTAGCAGTGAACCATCAGTCTGTTCTGACAGGCTACTGTGGCTACACAGAACTTGCCTTTGGGAGGAACATGCGCCCCAAACAAATCAAAGGCAGAGGTGCACAGCTGTGCAGTGGAACACATCTTGACTGCTAGGAATATGCATGTTGATTATTACAAATCCCTGAGGCACCCAGCACTGCTGTCTGGACACAGCATTGCATTCACAGAGTGCAAGGTCCATGTCCTGAATATTTTGACAGTGCTCACTAGAAAAGGACTTTCCCTGCTAGATTAAAATTGGCAGAATGGGGGGAAGAAAATGAACAGTGGAAAAAGAAAAGAGCATCCAGCCTGGGAGAGTGCAACTCCAGAAAAGTTATGCAAAGGAGTTGTAGAGCTCCATATATTTTTACTAAGCATTATTTTGCGTTGCAACCTGGGAAATTCTCACTCCAAAATAAGAATGAGTGAACCTTGTAAAATCTGAAATCTGATGTAATTCTCAAAATTGGAGTTTTTTGTTTGGTAAGGTGACCTTAAGTGTGTGATTCTTCTTTGATCCTTGCTGACCAGCTTGAGTGGATTTATTCCTAAATTACATCCGTTGTGGTAGATAAGGACCAGGCCCACAATGTTCAACTTCTTATTTTAATTCTTTTTTCTTTCTTCGGATGCTTTGGGGTTGGTTTTTTGGTTTTTTTTTTTTTGTTTTGGTTTTTTTCCCCCCATATTTTTCAGTCACACTCCTCTGATTTCCTTTGAACAGATATTTCCTTCCCACCCCCCAATGTTTGAGTCAAGTTAAATTTTCAACACAGTTTTTAATGTGGCTTCACAATTAAGCAAAACAAATTTTCCTGTGCTTTGATGAGCGTGGCTATGGCACATCTCCGAGTGAATGAGAAACACCCTTTCGTGAAGGAATGCTGTGACATAAATAAGAAAAGAATGTTTCTAGGTGGAGCCTGGGGAAAAAAAGTTTATTTATGATCTGTTTGTTTCTCTTAAATTATGGCTTAGATGAGCACTTTTCTTAACGGCTCAAATGACAATATGCATGCAGGCAATGTTATTAAAGAATTGAATAGTTTAAACCTGATAGAAATCTTGATCAGTAATGTTCTTTTCACCAGAATGGGTGGAAGATATGCTGGCAATAAATCTAAACATGTTTGTACAGATCCATCTGCCTAAGCAAATGGTTAGCATTTCTGCGCAGGTGACAAGCAAATATCAAAGGCCAAATTCTCGGTTGTGATCTGGCTGTGCCTTTAAAGGGTCTGGACTAATCCTTAGCTTCAGCTGATTGTAACAGCAGATTGGTAGCCTATTGTCAAAATTCTATGCTGGGGGGCAGATCAGGTGAGTGATTCTGTGCCCAGGTAATGGTCAAGTGACTGATAGAGACCACAAGCAGCTGGGGTAATTGAGGACATGCATGAGACTGCCCTAGACTATGTTGGGGCAAGAAGTAAAAAGACCCCATAATGGTGAAACTAGGCCTGTATCTCTGTGCCTCTTTCTGTCTCTCCAAACCTTTTTAGCCAGTTCATGGCTGAGAATCTGACCTTTAACTTACGGGACCTGGAAGGCTGCAAGAGATGTGTGCTACAGCGTGCGGTATGGATCCCAGGCTGCTGTTTCATGTATAGCATTGGACTGTTGATAATAGAATGCAGAGGATGTGGGAATGTCTTACATGACTTTGTTATGATGTAATGATATAAACAGTTACCGTAGTCCCCCTTTTTTTTTTTTTTTTTTACTTAAGCAATGCTCTCAAAAGGCTGGTTATGGTCCTTTCCTTTTTGTCTTTTACGTCTAGAAGAAGTCTGAGATTACAACACCCCTTTAGAAAGCCATTACATATGCCATAGCACAGAACTGGAAATGGAGCACCCATACAAGGTGTCTAACTGCAGTAGTCTGCATTTTTGTATGTATCTCTAGTTGCTGTAGCCGTTTCTTCCCCAGTTGGGTCGGTCACATTACTGCAGATTGTTAGAATAGAAGATAGTGTACAAGAGATTGTTTATTTATTTTGTTAAGCCAAAAGAAACAAAGCTAATCCTCTGGAAATTATTGATCATAATTACACAAATTATAAAATATTTCTAGTATGAAGAACAATGGCCTTCTGTGTTGAGAACTTCTGTTTGTGCCAGAAGTTACTGAAATTACTCTTTGCTTTCCTCTATGATGAAAACCAAGGATGTTTTCTCTCAGGCAGAGCTTTAAATGATTCACTAGAAACAGCTGCCTCTTCCTTCCACCCATTGCCGTATACTGATTGTATAATCTGCTTTTTCAGTGCATTGTTCAGTAGGATCAACACTGGTCCAGGCTATTTGACCAAGATCAATCTAAATGTGCTACTTGGATTCATTTGTAGTTCCTGTTTCATTTTAAAGACTTATAAGGAGGAAAAAAGGATTGCAAAAATTAATAGATTCCAAATATTTATTTCTATACTTCCATTTTGGAAGAAATTTTTAATGATGCCACAGAAAAAAAGATCAATTTTTAATCTGTCAGTGTATTTCTGAAGTACCTTCCAATGCTTGCATGCCTACGTTCAAAATGAGATATTAAAAAAAAAATCTCATTATGAGTCTAGGATTAATTTATTGTGCTGTGCTACATTTTTGTGTTACAGCATATGAAGAAATTACCGTAACTAGCTTTCCAAAGTACCTATGGACAATGTAAATAGGAATTTATTGTTAACAGTGGTTCTTCATTATATTTATTCTCCTTGTGGAGTGATCAGAAACAGTAAAGAGCCTGCAGTATGCTCAGTAATACTGGCAGGTTCTGAATACTGTGTAATTCAGAAGCAGAAACAAAAGTAGGAATATGCTAAATATAGGGGCCCAAATGTTCAGCCCTGCTAACTAAAATCCTAAAGGGAGAATGTTGCAGGTGTCATTTCAGTGACCAAATGGCTTATTAGGGATGGGTTTGAGTGAGAGGAACTCTACAGGAATGAGTTTGCCCTCCCCCCCCCCCTTTTTTTTTTCCCCTATTGGCTTTGTCAAACAATATTTTTTTGACAGTACCATAGTGATTTAAAACTAACCAAGCACTTCAGATAGTCGTCTCTCTTAACAGGAAAGGAAACTGGATAGAAAGCCAAAAAACCTTACCAGGAAACAGATAGATCTCCACTGGCTGCTGTTTCCTCGGAGACATTGTTACCAACAGCAAAACTCCCACAGATTGCAGTGATGCAGCCCCAACCACTAATGCAGTCATTTGAGCAAAGCAGTTAAAGGCTCAGTTCGGGAAGATTGCCTTCACAGGAGGTATTTTATGGTCGACTGTGAGCAAGGTCAAGTTTCTGTCAGCCCACTCTCAACTGGTTTCACTGCAACTGTGGAAATAATGAAGCCCAGCAAGGTGGCAAACCTAGACCCCCGCCCTCCACGGTGACCTAAGCTCTTAGAGCTCACCAGCAGAACTGGAGTCTGTTTCTCCCCCTAGAAAATGGACTCATCTCCATCAAATGGATATTGGTGGCGTAGTCCTCCTTCCACATGTCTTCTAAGGGGAAAAAAAGTAGACTTTGTAAACTGTGTAGTCATCCACTCTGTATTGCCCTGTGATCAGGCAAGTAGCCCACATGATAATTGAATGAAAGAGGCAAATAATTTAACAAGGGGCATGATTACAGCTTTTCTGTTAACGGGAGCTAAAAGCTATTGATTACAGAGTGTTTAAGAGTAGCCTTTGGCATCTCATCATTTTCATCATTCAGGATAGACCTTGTAAAAAATTCGGGAAACAAAGTAACTCTATTTAATAGGATTTAACCAGTATTTCTACAGAAAAGGGAATGAACTCAGCTTTTCAATATGCACCGAATAGTGTCTCATTCAAGTTTCTTGCATGCCTCCTGTATGTCATTTGGCCGCAGTGTACCTTATGCTGTAATACAGTGTCTGTGTGCCATGTGAGAGGTGTATATTCATCCAGTTTATCCAAAGCCTAACATTCCCATCTCCCTTGTGCTGTTGCGAGTGGAGGGGAGGCCAGAATGGAAGAAATGACGGCACATGTAGTGTAAGAGACACAAACTGGCCACCTGGGACATTTTCCCATAAATTTCCTAGGAGAATCTTTCTCAGTGTGAGAGGCTGGAGCACAGTTTCTGCTGTAGCACGCTCTCCCCCTAAGTCCCCAAAGCTTCCAAAAGATCTATTTAGAAAGCAGAGTAGATCACGGGCTTTGCCACTGAGCTCCAGAATTTTGCTTGACCCAAAAGATTTAGGAGGAAAGAAATTCTGGTGAGTTTTTCCTTGTCTTCCTGGGACTTGCTAATAGGGCACTAAAATAGACAGGGCGTTGTGTGTGAATTGCAATACAGACAGCTGAGAAAAATTTGCCCTTGGTTTTATCTAATCCTAACATTGAATAACAGATTAGGAAAATGGCAACTGTAGTGTTGAGAAGCCTAGGTGAAGTATGATGTTTACTGCTGATATGGGTGAAGCCAACGGTGGTCAAAGTTGTAGAAGTATTAGAGAACAGCAGAATCCTGCAGCAGGTCAGGGGGAAGTGGGCAGAATAGGATGTGCTTCTCTTCATAGTTTGACAAGCATAAAGCAATACAGCATAAAGTTGGAGGAGCAAAACACTATAAACAAAATTTATTGCTCAGTGAAAATCCAAAGGGTAAATAGCCTTCTGGAGCTCAGTATTAAACTACCACCGCCGCCCCCAAACTAGGAAAAAATCTGGGAAAAAAGAAACCAGTTAATTGACAATATCATCTTTTCTCCACAAATATATATTATTTATTTTTTCAAGACCTTATGT